GCAGCACCATACTCACACTCTCAGCACATTCTCTATTAACCGTGACAATAACAAGGCAGCCAGAAGTTCCAATCTTGGTACTGATTGAGTCTTGAGTGGAGCTACTCGCGTTTTTGCAGCTATTACTCTCACCACTCCATTACCATCCTTAAGATACACTACTGCTGCATAGGCAGCCATAGATGCATCACAAAATCCAATCAATTCACACATTCCCTGTTGTTCACTCACACATCTTTTGATTCTCACAGACTCACTCGCTTTCAAATCATTAATCAACATGTGCCATCGAGTCAGAAGGGGTCCAGTGATTGGTTCATCCCAATCCCTCTTTTCTCTACAAAGCTCTTGAAACAAAATCTTGAATCTGATTATCACTGGAGATAGGATACCCAAGGGATCATAGAATTTCCCTACAATGCTAACAATAGATCTCTTGGTTGGATTTACAGAGTGCGCTTCTAAGGCTATTTCTCCAAATCCTACAATAATCTCATCCCTCATTGGATCCCACAACACTCCCAAGACCTTATGCTCCCTCTCTCTTTCTGTGTCACTTTGATCCTTTCTCAAAGTAGTATCAGTATCAGACATGTCTTGTTCATTAGTACTAGTACTTGACTTTTCATGCTCCTTAATCTTGACTCTTAGACTCTCAGAATTAGTAACAAATTTGCGTAGATTAAACCCACCCTCCTTAAACAGCGTCTTTGACTCCAAATAAAATTCAAATGCACTCTCCTCCGTTCTCGCTCCACAAACAACATCATCTACATACAGAGACTCCTTAAGCTGTTTTACTAACAAAGCATGTGACTCTTTAAACTTCTCTAAGTGCACATTTAAGGTGGCATTTAATAAATAGGGACTACAGGTCACTCCAAAAACGACCCTTTTAAATCTCAGAACCCTAATCACAGGGGGTTCTTGCTCGATATCCTCTACCCAGAGAAATCGGAGCACATCCTGATCCTCTGGGGACACTGCTACCATTAAAAACGCCTTTTCAATATCCGCAATTAACGCAATATTAAAGCATCGAAATCGCACTAGAATATTGAACATCAAATTATGCAATTTGGGACCAACATGTAAACAATCATTTAAGGAGGGTCCCTTGTCGCGCGCAGACGCATCGTAAACCACACGGAGCTTAGTCGTTTCTTTCTCATGTCGCACCACACCATGATGAGGTAAGTAGTGTATCCTAGTACCATTTGCTTTCAGTGGATTCTCCACTACTTCCACAATTCCTCTGTCCAGTTGATCTCTTATGACAGTGTCATAGGCTTTAAGTAATTCAGGGTTCTGCTTCAATCGTTTCAATAAATTCTTCAACCGCCTCATACCAAGCTCTAAATTATCAGGCAATGTCACATAAGGATCTTTCCAAGGCAAGGATACTTCATACCTTCCATGTTTGAAGGCTACAATCTCTTTAAATTGGTCATGCACAAAGTCTTCCTTATCTACAATCCCCAGTGCTTCAAGTTCCCAAAATCTTTTTAGTTGATTATCCAATCTTTTGTTCTCTGGCTCCGAATCAACCTTAAGAATATGTGTTACTAAAGATGTTGGCTTGGTATCACAGATATCAGTCTCAACTGGTCCAGAAATGACCCAACCCAGGCGTGTATGCACAGCCACTGGTCCTTTCTCACTGCGAACAATCTCCCCCGTAAGAATATTCCAATATTGATCAGAACCAATCAGGATCTGTGGCTCTATAGGACCTGTGTATGTCAAAGTGTCTGCTAGGTCACTGTCTTGCAAGGCAAAATACTTCTCTAAATGTACCACACTACTTGACAAAGGCTCACATATGTGTGGGACTGAAAGTAATTTCAGCTCATGCTTTGGTTCCGACTTTGTCTCAAGACCAATCT